AAAGAAGAAAGGACGATCGAATCGAACGGGCAAAAAATCAATTTTGACTTTTGTTGCTTCCATTTTCCTTTCCTCTTTACCCTTTTTTTTTCCTCCTCCTCCTCCTCCTCCTACCCTCTACCCCCCTCCCCCCCTCCCCTCACGCCCCTTCTTTTTCGATCTTTTTCATATAATCACGAGAAGAGAGGAAGGTTGAAAAAGGAAGGCGAAGATAATATAACTACACGTGAATGCGCTCACGAACTATGACGTTATATGAAATATAAGAAGAGACAAAAAGAAAGAGAAAGAGAAAGAGAAAAAGAAAGAAAGAGAAAGAGAAAGAGAAAGAGAAAGAGAAAGAGAAAGAGAAAGAAAAAGAAAAAGAGACTCGTTCGTGGCTCCTAAAAGGCGCCGATGGCTCGCAGCATGTTGCGATGATGGTAGTAGTGTAGTAGTAGTAGTAGTAGTAGTAGCAGTAGTAGTAGTAGTAGTAGTGTAGTAGTAGTGTAGTAGGTAGAGATGGTGGTTTAGCGCGTGGTAGGACGTATGGCCTCGCGTACGGTTGCTGGATGCGTAAGACGGGAAGCCTATACGTCTTACATGCCCCGGAGGCTTTCAAAGTCGAGCCTTCGCTGCTCCTGTCGTATGTACGTGCGTGTATTCGTGCGTGTATTCTTGCGTGTAAGAAGCGCGCCCGCGCGCAAACCTGCGTGTCTAGACCAATACGCATCGTGTGCTGATGATCGTGAGCACGCTTCTTCTTCTTCTTCTTATTCTTTCTACGGAATCTTCTTTCTCTCTCTTTCTCTTTCTCTCTATCTCTATCTCTATCTCTATCTCTATCTCTATCTCTATCTTTCTCTCTATCTATCTCTCTGTGGTGGTCAATCGACGTGTTCGTTCTAACGCCTATAGCGATTTTCCGTATCATCCGACGTCACGGATAGATAAAAGTTTTGCCGTCGAAAGGAATTGTATATTCTTTTTCTTTTCTTTTTTTCTTCTTTTTTTCCTTTTTTTTCTTTTTTTTTTTCTCCTTTACTTTTACTTTTTCACCTTTCTAATTATCCTCTTTTCTCTTCCTTTTTCTCTCTCTCTCTCTCTCTCTCTCTCTCTCTTTTACTTTTACCTACTTTTTCTTCTTTTTTCTTTTTTCTGTCTTTATTTCTCATTTTTCTCTTCATTCTTCTTCTTCTTCTTCTTCTTCTTCTTCGTACTCCTTAACATTTATCTGTTATATCAGCTTCTTAATTGCAAAGAATATTTTTCATATAAAATTTATACGATCATTATTAAGAGAAATTTATTTTTCTTATATATTATATATATATATATATATATATATATATATATATATATATATATATATACATATCATCCTGTTACCTTCAACGAATAAAAAAAAGAAAAAGAAAAATGAAAGAAAAATAAAAAAAAAACCAGCAGCTACGTCTATGGGATTCGTTATTTTGCAAGTAAATATTTTTTTTTTTTTTTTAATATAAAATCGATAATAACAACGTGTCGAACGATAAATTGGCAAACGTATATGCGTAAGTACGTAAATAGTTAAAACTAAAGAATAAAGTATTCGTACCAAGACGAGAACGTTTTTATCATCGATTAGAAAAGAATGATCGTTCCATCGATTCGTATTCACGGTTACGTAGACGTGTAATTAAATTATTACGAAAAGTTCTGCGCAAAATTCTATTTCCTTTAATCGCATATCCTTCGATATTGAGCAAGCTAGCTCAGCTAACTTTTGCTCGCATCATAAACTGTTAGTATCTCTCTCTCTCTCTTTCTCTCTCTTATCCTTCTTCTCCTCCTCCTCCTCCTCCTTCTCTCTTTCTCTCTCTCTCTCTCTCATTTTCAACAACGTAATTACAGACACGATAACTCATCGGCGTGTGCACGTATCCACATGCTGGATAAATGTATATATATATATATATTTATATATAGCTAATAACAGTTTGCACCTTTGGCCGATACTAATTAACGTTTCCCACGCGCGTACCATTAATTACCAGCCTTTCGATAAAAAGACGACCTCATTATCTTAAACATTGGGTTCCGGCAACAACTCGAATAATATGTACATCGATCGTTAGAAACAAGGGAGATACTTTCTTACTTGCACAATCGATCGATGAATTTTACGCCTTCCTTTACGACGAAGAAATTTTAACGGTGATACATAAGAGATGAAGAAATAGAAAGAAGGGAAAAAAAAAAAGAAAAAAGAAAAAAGAAAAAAGAAAGAGAAAAAAGAGAAGAAAAGAAAAAAGAAAAAAAGAAAACTTTTATGTCCCAACCAATCGTATTTATAGAAAGACAAAGATATAACGTCAATCGATCGTATTAAATATAATATTTCTCATAACACCTTAAAACATTATTCTCGATCGATACCGTACGTACTTAGTTACATACACGTATTTCGCTTTATAATCGATTAAAAACTTTTTTTAATACGCCAACACTTATTTTCGATATATATCTTCGAAAGATAATAAAGAAAAAAGGGGCCCACCCGTAACACGGACGATTAATTTTTAATGATAACCGTGAAAACGGTTCTCCCTGTTAAAGCCACGACGGTTAACATTCAATCTTGAAGAATTTAATCTCTGCTTTCTCGAGCGAAAACGATGAACTCACGGAAGAGAACAGAACAGTAGAGAAGAGAAGAGAAGAGAAGAGAAGAGAAGAAAAACGAGAGAGAGAGAGAGAGAGAGAGAGAGAGAGAAAGAGAGCTTTCTTCTCTTTACCGAAAAACGACGCGTTAGAGAGCTGAAGGAACTTCGAAATGTGACTGGTAGAAGAGGATGTAAAAGAGGGAGGGTGAATATAGTAAAAAAGGAGAACGGTGGGTGGGGTGATATAGGACTGAGAGAGGTGGGGAATGTAGAACGTTGACGAAGGAAGACGAGTAAGAGAGAAGGAGAGAGATGAAGGGATGGTAAGTGTAAAGGAGGGAAAAAGATGTCGTGACTTGGATCGAGGGCGGTGAAAAATTCTCCAATTAAAAAAATCTCATTTCTCCCGTTAACGAGGGGTTGCTTGCAATTAACGTCCGACGCGAAAATGATTTATGTGACTCTAAGGGAAGCGAGGTAGACGATGGAAGAAGATTGGTGTTAAAAGTGATCGTCGTAGTGGCTACGTTGTGGAAATGAGAGTGGGTGGTAGGTGGATGGGCGTATAGAAGTGTTAGGAGAAGGGGTGGCTGATACGCGTACTACATATTACTATACTACGGAGACCTTGCCAGTATAAGGCAAGCTTATCATAAATTAATGAATTATCAGAGGGCCGGTATGGCGAGTCGTCGTGAAGGGAGGCAAATCGTGCGCGGTGCGCCAATATGCTATTTCAAATATTCATAGACTGCTACCTACGTACCTACATATATATATATATATATTTATATATATATATATGTATGTATGCATGTATATACGTATACACCAAGGATATAAATATATATATATATATGTACGTATAATACACACAAATGTTTACGTACTACGTACATACGTGTATGTGTGTGAATATATACGTGTATATGTAAGTAAGTACGTAGATATATATATATAAACGCGTAAGAAGACGAGGAAGGAGAAACTCCGAGAAGGGAAACTACCCCTCCCCATCTCTCGTCTCTCTCTCTCTCTCTCTCTCTCTTTTTCTCTCTCGCTATATTTATTCCTCCTAAAAGTTTTATGCTCCTATTTCGTACGAGACACGCGCGAGCTTGATCGTAGCCCGATGGTAGCAGATGGTAATGCGTAATCGTCTTCGCTTTTACTATTAACATTCGGGGCACGAAACTAAAAAGATATGGATATGGGACTTAGAAAATTAATCCTTAAAAATTTCATCATTTTATCCTGCATACTTTATATATATATATATATATATGTGTGTGTGTGTGTGTATATTAACTTGATCGTTAACTCGATTAAAATAATAATTATTATTATGTAAGAATTCGATCTTCATACTCTCTCTCTCTCTCTCTCTCTCTCTCTCTCTCTCTCTCTCTCTCTCTCAGCTGATCGTACGATCACGTATGATCGTACTATTAAAACGCGATGTCATTTTTTAATGATAAAGAAAAGAAGAAAGAGGAAAAAAAAAGAAAAGAACAAACAAACAAAAAAGAAAGAAAATAAGAAATCAAGATATATAAAATGGCACGATCGATTTCTCGGTAAGAATGTACGCTTTTATTTTAACCGCATTAAATAAAGGATCACAGGTCGAGATACCGGTAAAAGAAACGAGAAATATAATTCTACTATAACGGACAAGTTCAATCACCTTCGCGCACGCTCGCGAAGAAGATTTAAAGAACGATTCTTGTCTCGTAGAAATTATAAAGTCAGCTCGCTTCTGCCATCCTGTAATCGCTATCGCGCATTCCAACAAATTCTAACTACAACGTCGACGTGTTCCGCGATTCACCTCGACGCGTTCTTTAACCTCTACCTATCGCGTCATCTCTCTTTCATTCCCATTCACCTCTTTTATTTCATAGTTACGCAGTTTCATTAACTCTTTCTATCTCGTACACGTATACATTTTCCTCTTTTTATTTCCCTCCTTCTCCTCTTTCTTTCTCTCTCTCTTTCTCTCTCTCTCTCTCTCGCTCTCTCTCTCGCATTCTATCTCGATCTATCTATATTTATCTCTCTACTAAGAATGTTAACAATCGAAACGAATCAAGAATATGCATAAGAATGAAAATATTATTATATTAACCGTTACGACGATGACATATAAAGATTGATAATCAATACCGTACGATAAATATTCGTAATAATTTTCTATTCAACAATTTTAAATATTCGCGCTTATAACAAACGTACAAATTCATACTCGAATCATAGATTTTCTACTTTATCGATAACATTGATCAAAGGATATTACGTGAGTTTCTTAAAAATCTCGATAGGTAGCATTGTATGCGTCCACCAACATGGCCACGTGCTAACGAGGGACGTGTTTACGCGAACGAATGCTGAAGAAGGAAAGAGAAAGAGAGAGAGAGAGAGAGCGAGAGAGAGAGAGAGGGAGAAAGAGAGTAAGTGAGTGAGTGAGTGAGTGAGAAAGAGAACGGTGAGGAAAAGAGAGAAGAAGAGGTTGAAAGATAGGCGTCGCCGTCGTACTTATTTTTCAAACGTGTGTATATAACGTATCGTTTTTCGTGACTGGTTCTCTCGTGTTCCTCGTCGCGACGACGACGACGGCAACGACGACGACGACGACGACAACAACGACAACAACAACAACAGCAATAACAACAACAACAATAACAATAATAACAGAAAGAAAAATGTTCTCATATCATTTTTGATCGACCTTTAGAGATCGACGACTACTTTTAACTACGTTGTTACTGGCGTTGCTGTTTCTCGCGGTGATGGACATGGCGGGTATCGACGTACATCGTGTCCCCAAATGCACCTGCGAGGATAAAAATAAGGAAAATGTATTTGAACAAGTGGAATCGACGAGACGTCGTTTAGATACTCGCACGAGTACATCAACAATAATAACAACGACGATTCCGACGCCGACACCGACGATGACGACGATGACTACGACGACGATGACGATGACGACGACGACGACGACGACGGTATCGAGAAATTATCGGCCACGTGGAAGTTTGGCTAGAGTTCTCTACGATAAACAAAGAGCCGACGAAAGATTAGAAGCATATGACAAAAGACAGGTAGGTTAGCCCGTGTAATATATCTCTTCTCTTTGATAATTATCACGAACAAAAAATGTTAGGTTATGATTCGTTATAACTTAAGCTAAGACAGAGTCATCTGTTTCTTCGTACTTTATCAGCGCGTCGCTCAATGTGAAACACCACTGTGACTCTAAAGCGCCTGCGTGTTTCATGTTTCCCGCCGCCTGAGGTCACGTCTGTCCTTCCAGGAACGTAACTATCAATGTTCGGTACCTTTAACTCATCCCCCACCTCTTACCCCGCACTTCCACGATCGGTCCCTTTCTCTTCCCTTTGTTGTTCTTTTTTCTTGTGTTTTTTTTCCTTTTCTTTTCTTTTTTTTCTCATTCGAAACTCACACTTTTTTCATCGTTATTGTTATATCGTTAAAAAAATTATTGATTATTAATTTCTAACGATTGTAATTATTCAACGATGATTAAAATATATTAAATAAACAAAAGTTTTTATTATATACGTATGGATACGTATGTGTAAAAGAAAAACAATTTTATTTCGGATAATAACAATCGTCGTATGGGTTTAAATGAAAAAAAAAAAAAAATAAAAAAAAAAAAAAAAAAAAAAAAAAAAAAAAGAAAAGTATTGAAAAGTATGAAAAAGTGCAATGCTTTGTGTATATAATTTTAATGGATTTATAATCAATCGAATCGAATCTTTGATTAATAAATCGATTCAAATTATCAATCTTATCATTCTCTATGATTCTGTACGATCATTCTAGATATAAAAGGTCAATGCAAACAAAGTTATAAAGTATATATATATCGCGTTTATCCTATACACACACACACACATATACACAACACCACCACCACCATACACATGTATATATCTGTTTATTAATACGAGTGGCGTATTACGAACGCTATCACTTATATTTATATATTCTTTCGAATCCAAAAGTCCACAAAGAGGGAAATCATTTTATCTCCGCCGGCGAATACAGTACTTTTTTAATTATGAAGCTATGAAAATATGAAGAAGAGAGAGAGAGAAAGAGAGAGAGAGAGAGAGAGAGAGAGATAGAGAGGGTTGAAAAAAAAAAAAGAAAGAAAAAAAAAATTCTTCCTCGAAAGATTATTTAAAGCGATAAAATTTCTCTATACATACGTACGTATATTTTGATCGTAATTTTGTTTTTCTTTTCTTTCCCTTTTTTTTTTTTTTAATTTTTTTTCCAAGAATTTTAACGAAGGTCTCTCGATTCCCCCCCTCCCCCCTTTTTCTTTTTTTTTTCTTCTATAAAGAAACGAGCTCTCTTTGAAATCCGACACACACACACACACACACACATACATACATACATACATACATACATACATACATACATACATACATACATACATACATACATACATACATACATACACACATAGACACATATGCACACACTTTTTTACCAAACAGTAGATAATTGTTGTTGAAGAGGGTGGGTCGAGAGGAGAGGAATAAGAAGGTGGAGGAGGAGGAGGAGGAGGAGGAGGAGGAGGAGGAGGAGGAGGAGGAGGAGGAGGGAAATGCGAGATCCGTGTCGAGGTAGGTAAAGGAAAGAGAGGAGATAGTAATAATTAGTACAATTACCGCACAAGGCCGACCACCAACTCTATCCTCGCTTTTCTGAGACGATCCTGCTCGAGAGTCAAGACCGTGCTCGGTAATTATGGGATAATTACGTCCTCGATATTCCTGAAACATCTTCGAAAACGCCTGGAGCGAAGTCTCGGACTCCGGAGTCTGGCTCCGCGTGAACCAAAATCTGGATCTCCGACCTATTTATAATTGTAAAGTCTTTCCCGAAACTTTCGGTTATTCTAATTTATTCGGAAAAAAAAAAAAAAAAAAAGAAAAAAAAAAAAAGAAAGAAAAAGAAAAGAAAAAAGAAGAGCGAAAAAAAAAAGGAGAAGAGGAAAAAAAACGAATATTTGATAAGAACGAATATAATTCTTTAATATTCATGTATACGACTCATCGATGTCAATCGATTATTTATATATCATTTAATTAACAATGGTCTTGATCGAATAAGATTTTTAAAAAATCTCTCCTCTCTCTCTCGCTCTCTCTCTCTCTCTCGCTCTCTCGCTCTCGTGCATAATTTCGTTACGTAGTTAAAAAAAAAAAAAAAGAATTATTTTATATAATTAACTTTTTTCCCTCGACACTGAAATTATTCGACGCGCGCGTTTACACGATCGTACGAAAGAATTAATTGATTTTTATATCGATCAACGAATGTCCTTGATCGTATCTATTAAATAAAATTCTCTCTTTAATGTGTATTATAATAACGTTATATAGTAAAAGCTATTAAATTTTATTTTAAAATATAAAAATATTCACGATGCGTATAATTGAAAATAATTTATTAGAGAACTACGATTTGATGTATATTTAATAATATCGTTGAAGATTCATCGTCCTCCTCGAACGATGTTAACTCGGCTACGATCAGATTAAGACTGAGGAACGATAAACAAAATAAAGTCGTAATAACAACGAAATCTAAACACAGCGATCACCTTTATATTACGCGACCAATCCTCGTGTAACGTAAACGTGTACGTAACGTAAACGTCTTAAAAGTCATCAAATTTTCTCAACAAAGAAATAATCAATATTAAAAATAATATTCGTAATAATCGTATCAATCTTTATTTTATCAAAGATATCGTTATAAATTTACATCAATTTATTCCATACGTGTCTCTCTGTGATATTGAACAATCGATTTTTTACAAATCGAAAATTATTGAATAATCGTTGATTACAAATTTAATTAAAAAAAAAAAAAAAAAAAAAAAATTAATCGTTGGTCATTAATATAAGGGAGAAAAAAAAGAAGAAAAATAGAAAAAAGGAAAAGAAGAAGAAAAAAAATAGGACGTCGCAACGTTACGATAATGATATAATAATGAATTAAAAAAAAAAAAAAAAACCGAGTTAAGGGTCATCAAGAGAGAGATTAATCAATTTCAAGGCAAACGGAATTAATTCATTCTTTCTTGTTGTCATTCTTCTTTTTCTTTGTTTCTTTCTTTCTTTCTTCTTTTTATTTATTTATTTTTTTTTTCTCTCTTCTTTTCTTCATTCTCATCTATATCGAACTAAATCGACATTGTCGACAAATAATCTGAAAGAAAGTAAATAGATAGTTTCGTTCTTTCGTAATGGAGTAGAGAAAACGGGATCATTATCATCGTGAAGAAGGTTTTTAAAACTCAACAAAACTACGTAAGGATTTTTCACAATTTTTACGTGTTCGGTCGTATAACGAAAGAAAAGACGTACGATGACCAGAAGAAGAAGAGATGGCACTGTATATATATATATATATATATATACACGTCTGTGTGTGTGTGTGTGTGTGTGTACATCTCTCTCTTTCTGTCTCTCTCTTTCTGCGACGATAGCAACGTCGACGAATAGATGAAAACTTATTAGAAACTTTTGCTTGGAGAAAGAAGAAGAGGAAAAGTTTTCTCAAGAGAATGTGTGTGTGTGTGTGTGGCATCGTTCGAAAAGAAGAGAAGGAGGAAGAGGACGAGAAGGAAAAGAAGGAGGAAGAGAAGGAGGAGGACAGAGTGTCGTATCGATCGTAGAGATCCAAGGATCGATCGATCGATCGAGATACGTTCGTAGAACTCCCACCTTCCTCCTCATCCTCCATACTCTTCATACCCTCCGCATGATCCTCCTGATCCTCTCCTCTCCTCTCCTTTCCTCTCCTTCTTCCTACCTACCCACCCATTCACTCTTCTCTTTCTCTTTCTCTTCCTCCGGCAAGTCGAGCATGGAAAAACAATAACCCTCTTTATCTCCAACGTTACGAGAAGGCACTTTCGACGGAGGCGCGTAAATCGATTCGAAAGGTCGGCCGCGTCGCGTGGGCGTCACTGAGCGGATTCTCGCGGCTCTGAGACGGTTTTCATAGGGATAGAGGTGTGAGAAGAAGAAAGGGCGAAAGTTGGTGGTTGAAGAAAGAAGGAAGTAAGAAAGGAAGGGAAAAAAAATTTTAAATTCGTGAGAAGGTTTGAGCTTGGAGGGTTTCCACGTTGAAATCGACGCTGCTCTTCTTCGTCGTCGTTGTCGTCGTCGTCGTCGTCGTCGTTCTCCTTCTCCTTTTCCTCCTCGTCCTCCTCATCCTTCATCTCCTCCTTTTTTTTCTTTTCTCTTCCTCTTGCTCACACACATACACTCTCTCTCTCTCTCTCTCTCTCTCTCTCTCTCTCTCTCTCTCTCTCTCTCTCTCTCTCTCTCTCTCTCTGTCTCTCTTTATCTCATCCCTCGAAGAATCTTCGGCGCGGTCGTAGTTTCTTTTTTTTCTTTCTCTCTCTCTCTCTCTCATTCTCTCCCTTCCTTCCAAGGGCCATACCAAGACCCTTCTGAATCCTATGTCTAATATCCCTAAGCAAGGAACTCGCGCGAGGAACGAAAGGAACTTTACTCGAAAGGCGCCTCTGTTTTAAGCTTTTAAAAATGGCGAGACGAGCCAAGTAGGACCCACGTCAGCTCCTTCCTACCGTACTATCATTCTGTATGAGAGAAAGAGAGAGAGAGAGAGAAAAAGGGAGGGAAAGAGAATGAGAGAGTGAGAGAGTGAGAGGTGCTTCGGATGCGGCACAGGGCGCTGCTTTGAAATATTAAGTGACTGATGGATGAGACTCCTGAGGGGAAAGCACCATCTCTTATTTTTACTCGTCTATGCTTTTTCGGTTTCTTCTCTTTTTTTCTCTCTCCTTTCTCTTTCTCTCTCTTTCTCTCTCTCTCTCTCTCTCTCTCTCTCTCTCTCTATCTATCTTTATCTTTCTCTTTTTCACTCTCACTAGTTCCAACTTTATAAATATTTTCACTCTTAACTCTCCAGTTATCTAGAAACTTGGGCGTACTTAATTAATTAATTTCTCATCAGATTTTTCTACCCTCCTAAAATCTTCCAAAATAAAATATATCCCGAGTTGATGGTAGAAAAAAAA